TAATCACGTGACCGTACACCGAGCGAGCGAGCGAGCGAGCGAGCGACCGTCCGTCCGCACCACAGGCATACCAATGTAAAATAATTCAATCAACAGGTATGGCAACCCAAATGCGACTCAAGGTTTTATTTAGAAGAAAAAAACAACAACATAGTCGTGTCTTTTTCGGCGTTATTTTTTATGTTTACATTAACGTCGACAACAGAGAAAGAGCTAGAGCGAGTTATTGAAAACAAAGGAAACGAATTTCTTAGAAAGAAAAACATGGAATTCAAAGCGGCGGTGAGAAAATGAGTAATGCTAGCGACCAGCAAGGTGAAAATGAGCGGCAATGAAAAATAAAAGCGAACATGAACACAGGAGACAAAATATTGGGTAAGCACATACACATTATTTTCATGGAGGAATTGTCGTAACTAGGAAGCTTGACGTTTTAGCCGTACAAAACATCGTGCAAAACAACAACAAGGGAAAGACAAAAAAGCGTGCTGCACGTGCAAATTTTTTTTTGCTGAAGAAAAAGTCTAATTGCATCTATTAGTCTTGAAGCCATATTCATTGTCGTCCGCGTTTAGCATTACATGATTTAATTTTTTTTGTTTACACGTATCATTAACCAGAGCTTCGCTTTTAGCCCTGGCTAAATCTATATATTATGACTTCATCACTTTAGTACTCTATAAGAGGCCGATAAAAGCGTCTGCTCCCGCAGGGCATCTGTCGGGGCATTTCATTTGGCATACATAGAGAAGATACCTGAGGCTGGAAAATAGCGGTGTCGGTCTGAGTTTTCCGGCAGCGTTCTATGAGTCAGATTAAAGGAAATATTTCTGGAAGAACATCGAAAGAAAGATACGAACAGCTAATATTGGAGCTGTAGCAGGGTAAGAATCGCCTTTTTAGTTCCTAAAGGTATCCTCTTACTAATAAATCTGCAGGAAAATGTGTTGATCTGTAATGAGATGATAGGACTGACTCCTTGGCCTTCTGTTTTCACAAATAGCTAGCTTACAGGTTTGATGCTGCGTTAACTTGTTAAGAAGTCCGAGAAAAATTCTTTCCACCTAAAATGTTTCTGAACTCTTCTTTATAGTAACTGTATATATAACATTAACCAGCATTAACCGAGATAAAATAGTGTAAATGTTCATGACTATCGACTCACTTCCGGCTTTGAGAAATAACATTTTAGACGAAACAAACAACTTTGTAATATCATTTAGTGGGCGCCAATAAAAGACATAGAGTTTGCATAACAGACCTTTTCAAGGTTGTTTCAACTTTTTATAAGGACTAGTCAGGGAAAATCCGTCGACACCAGTGGAAAGAGCGCCTTAAAATTAGTACAATTGCGAAATTTGAAAGTGATAGTACATCTTTTGCAAAGCCGCGAAATTTTACAGACGTTCGTATATATGGTGGGGGGCACAAACTTGTCCCCCACCATACAAACTTTTGTAAAATTTTGTGACTTTGAGGTGGTGTATCTCCATTAGTTTTCAACAAATCACATTCAAATGTGGTAATTTTAACTAATTTTAAAGTGCTCTTTTGAGTGGTATCAACAGATTTTCCTGAACTTGTCCATGTTGAAAGTTGAAAAAAACCGTGAAAAGGTCCATGTGACAACACACTGTTCTCTGTCCAACTGACTCACTTCCCACCCATCCTGACTCCCTCCACATTGAACTGATTTACCTACTGTACAGTATGTGTTGAGGGGAGGATTTATCTTGGGAATTGCCTCTATTGAAAAAGTTCTTTCATGTAATGTCTAATGTTGAAAGTTTGGATAATCAAACATTTCTTTCTTATTTGGTGTATTCTTTCATTAACATTTTTCAGCTTCAAGATTTTCATTTGTTTCTTTATTTCTGTTTCATTTCCCAAAAGAATGCGGTAGAGGGGTTCAGGGGGACTGGGGGCCTGGAGGTGTCCATAGGGAGTCATTTGGGACGGGCAACCTGTAGGGGGTTAGTTAGCCTCCCATGCAGTTGTATTTAGGGGAGCCCGTATTTCGTCCCTCCCCACAAACGCCTGCTCAACCCACAACATTCCTTTCCCAAGCTTAGCCAATCACATTGTACTTTCCAAATTCTGGAAAGTTGACCTTGACTGCAGGGTAACCCGATAATTACTCAACACTGGGAAAGCTTTGTGACCTGTAATAATTATTATATTAGAGCAGCAACAGTGAGATTTAGTCACATTTTAGAATACTCTGTGCTCTGCATAACCTTAGTGAAGGAAAGAAAAGAAGGAAAACAGTGACGCTAGGGTCACGTTTTTACACTAGCATCAGCTTGTGAGTCGTGTTTAGCCTGTCAACACTTTATTTCACAACTGTAGATTGGTCACTTCCCACGCAAATAAAACAATGTGAAAGGAATATTGTTCTCGGTTGAGCAGGTGTTTGTGGGAACGGACGAAATAACAAAAGTCCCCTTAAATGACTGTGTGGGAGGCTTAAGGGGTTAGTTGACCCTGTTTTTTTTAAAATTAAACCCAGCTGATGCATTCTTTTACTAAATAATATCAATTTATTCACGAGACAGTTAGTACTTCCTAATTTGTCAACACTACATGTCAACTTACCTACCACTATTGTAGCTCGCATACTTCACAGCAGGTCCTGGTTGTTCAAAAGATGGACAAAGCCATTCACCTGATTGAGTGGATAAGTAGTAGGAAAACTAAATGCACTGTACTATCCACTGGATAATGTTTTTTCTGGTGGATATAGTGTTATCCTGACCTTTTAAATACCATGTAGCAGCTGCTTGGAAGGAAAGTCACCAATGGTGCATTACCCAGACCCTAAACAATACTAAAACAGTTGGAAGAATGACATGTCATTGTTTCCTGCAATCAATCAGGAGAGACCTTATAAGCAGCTCCTTACACTATTCTTTTGAACAATTAACTGGCGCCTGCAGTATGTGGAAATGGAACATCCCACAGAGAAAGAGAACTGGTGTGTGTTCTAGGTGGTTACACCTCATATCAGTGAATAGTTGTATGAACACCCTTTGTTTTCCCTAATACATATCTATTGGATGGTTACATGTTTATTTGGTGGATAACTCTGTCAGAACTTTGAATAACTGGGGCTTACAGCTGGTTACCGGCACTCCACAGCCTCACAGACATGGGCAACTTTTTGCTGTCTATTAATATGTCTTTTTGACAGTTTTTGTATGTTTAGGAAGCTTGGGGGAACTGTAAGTCATGGACTACATGTATCTGTTTTTCATAATGGAAAATCCAGCAAATGATATATCTTTATACAAAAATGTAAATTAAAAATAGTTATGAACAATACCTTATTAAAAAATTGCCCTCAATTAGACTGAAAATTGTATTTCGGAGCATTCCTTCAGGCACCCATGGTTGAAAAGGTGGTGGGACCCTTTCATTAACAAGAAAATCTGAGGGAATTAGAACTAGTTTTATTACAAGATGTAAAGCATTTTAAGTGTGGAGTATTGATGTCTTTACTACAACTACAGCCTTTTTGGTTTTTCATGTTTTGTTCTTGTTGTTTTTTTTTTGGCAGAGTTTAACAATATGAACTTAACTTTATTAACACACATGTGGAAAATACTTGAAAACAACCAAAGCCAGGGGCTTAAATGGGGGTGTAGGTTCCCCCGCCTCTCTCTCTCTCCTCCCCTCTCTGCCCCTCTTTTTAAAAAGAGGTCTGTTTTACTCAGTAATTCTGAGAGAAAAAAACATCCGGAAATCCTGACGTGTTTGATTGCTCTGATTATTTTTACTAAAATACTAATCTAGAGTTATGATATTCCATTAATTTTATTTGCTGTATACAAATGTAACTGTACCTGTCACCTAAGGCAGAAAGAAACTAGGAAGCAGTCTTTACTTATGTTGTGATGATTTACTGTGTTAAATAAATGACATTTTTCAATCAGCTTCCATTATGGTGGAAGTTTTTGTCTTAGAGAAGGGCCATATAATGCAGGAGTTAAGGACGACTACTCTAGATGTAGATGATATTTAATTAGCTTTGTCAATTTTGAAGCAGATTTGAGTGTTTGTATAGAAAATGTGCTGTACAAATAATGGAGATGATGACTATTATGTCTTGATAATTTTTATAATTTATTATTAAAAGATAACACAACCTCTGCTTAATTACAGCACGGACAACAGAGAGCCTGACATATCTGATAATGTGTGGCTGGCAGTGTGATTGTACTGTGAAAGCAGTGATGACCAGATTCTGCTAAACATCGAATGTTCAGAATTAAGAAAATCGGTTGACTTTGTGACGAAAGTCAAACCTACATCAAGTATTAGGACTAATTGTTACTACTAGGAAAGTCATTTTAATTTCTTATTTTTCCCTTTATCAGCCATGGCTGCCTCATCCAGTCAACCTGAGACTATGAAAGCAGAATGCAGTCTGGACAATCCAAAGGTTCATTCTTTTTTCTTAATTATTTTTACAATTAGCTATATGTTATTCCTATTACACTATATACAGTGTCATTTCATCACCTAAGAAGGGAACTTTATGATTGTGTGTCCCAAAAATAAACATTAAAAGTTGCCAGATGCTTTGTAAAAACTGCTTTCATGAAGTAAAACTACATGGGATGGTGTGATCATGTCCGTTTGGTGCATGCATGGGTGCGGTGAAAATCAGAAATGGAGTGGACATTACATTTGGGGCATTTGTTTGTTTGTTTAATAAGATAAAATTTGGGAATATTTTATTGTGGATATGCCTGATTATTTCCTATTTGATTGAACGGGATTTTTTCTAAAGACACTGTAATAAATTGTGTTACCGCGATGGGAAGTTGGAGTGAAAATTTGGCTATACTATCCCTATCAACTTAGTTTACAAATTATATATTATTATTATTATTATGTACTAACAGTTAACAGTTCCCAAACCTGCTACATGTATGTTTGTTGGTCTTGTATCTCCTTACTTTTCACTTTTGTTGTTATTGTTTTTGTAGGCTTGCTATTCTGAGAGCAGTAATCCAGTATTGCATGTCACTCTTCTTGGTGGTGAGTGGGGTTCATCTGCTGGTGGGTTGTCAACATTAAACAGAGAGCTTGCTATTCACCTTTCAAATCATTCAGCAGTGAACGTTTCTCTGCTAGTCCCAGAGGGGGCTTGCAATAATGAGGAAAAAAATGAAGCCCATACCTATGGAATCACTATTGTTGAGACAAAGCGACGTGCAGCATTCGATCGTCTTGATTGGTTAAGCTTTCCACCCCATGAGCACCTCATGGACATCGTTGTTGGCCATGGTGTAAAACTTGGTCGGCAAATACAGGTCATAAAAGACTCTGCTCGATTTCCAAATTGTAAGTGGGTACAAGTGGTGCACACTGCTCCAGAGGACCTAAGCAGATACAAATGCTACACTGATCCCATTTCAAAAGGTGAAACAAAACACGAATCAGAAGTTGAACTTTGCAAACTTGCTGATCTTGTTGTACCTGTGGGACCCAGACTGAACGAAGCATACTCATCATATTTACAGCGATATAAGACAGGTCAAGACGTTTTGTCCATTACTCCCGGCCTTTTTCAAAGGGAGTTTGGGGATTTAATACAAACCCCTAATGAACATGCTGAGTTTAAAGTGTTGCTATTTGGTCGTGGGGATGATGAGGACTTTGAACTCAAGGGATACAACATTGCTTCTCAAGCATTCACTAATCAGCGGTTAAAAAACAAACCTTACCATCTAATTTTTGTTGGAGCACCTGAAGGAAAGCAAGAAAAAGTTAGAGAAAAACTTCTTCAACTAGAAATTGCAGAAGCACAGTTGACTGTTAGAAAATTTTTGCAAAGTAGAGAGAAACTGAAAGATTTGTTGTGTGAAGCTGACCTTGCCATCATGCCATCAAAATCAGAGGGATTTGGTCTTGTCGCACTTGAAGCTTTGTCTGCAGGTTTACCCATTCTTGTTGGTAGTAAATCGGGATTTGCCAAAGCATTAGAGAATGTTCTTCATGGTAATGCATGCATCGTGAATTCGGATGATCCTGCAGAATGGGCAAAAGCAATTGAAGCTGTTCGTATCAGGCATGGAATGAGGCTTCAAGAGATAAAATCCCTGAGAGCATCTTATGAGGAGATGTACAGTTGGAAGGAGCAATGTGAAGCCCTTGTGAACAGAATGTGGAAAATGAGTCATGGTAAGAGTTAA